TATACACCATGTTACGGCTAGGGGGTACCTTGGGTCATGACACACCCAAATTACACCTCTAAAGAAGTAAAAGTGGTCATTGTCAAATAGAAAACCTAACTGAGGTTAAGATTGATCCCACGAGGAATATAGTTTAGACTTAGGCTAATTCACAACTAATTGTACTTTTCATCGGGTCTATTTCCGTAAAAGGGGGATTTGTAAATAAAGTAATAGTTGATTGATTTGTAGTAACAAGTAACAAGTAAAGAAGATTTGCAGTTTGAAATATCAATATGAGATGAAAACTAGGGCACAAGTGTTCCCCGCAAGTTCTTAACGCATTAATCCTAATAATAGTAACTTTTTCATAGTGTTAGCATACAAGGTTGGTAAGTTAGTTATCTTCTAAGTGATTGGTCGTCCAAACAGGGAATTTCACTACGCAACTTGGTTGGTCTACGGGTGTATGTTTTACTAACCCTTACCCTTAACCTCAGATTAGCCCTCGCGGTAGGTGGGTCAAGCTATTAGATAGCGGATTATCACACTAAATCTTTGTTGTTCAATCCCTTTCACATTCATTACTTCCTTGGTCGGGTAAGTAGGAATGATGTGAGTTTTAACGCTGTGCACCGTTAAAAAGCATTCAAAACGAAGAGATTAACAATACATGCATAAACACTATTGAAGAATTACTTAATTATTAGTTTTATGTTGTTAATTACTCATGGATCTCACAACCCTAGTTGTAGATTTAGTTATTCATTCTTGGGTTATCACAATTCATATAGTGTTAATAATATAAATTATAAACTTACAAGTTGAATAAACGAAAGCTATTGAATTGAAGATCAAACACAAATATCATAAACAAAGCTTCAAGAATTTATTGCCGAAAGTGTTCGCAAAATAATTTCCAAAGTAAAAAACAAAGTATCCTAAAAGGTCTAACAATCCAAAAATGAAAATTACAACTAATATTTATAGAAAATAAATCCTACACCAAGTAGAAAAAAAAGATTAGGAAATTCTAGTTTGGGCAGTGTCGTCGACGGCTGGCCACCCACAGCTCGTCACATAAATGATGGCTCATGGGTGCCATCGTTGCTCAACAGTTGGAAAAAAATCATATGAATGATAAACACGGTCACGACCTAGGACCCATAGGTCTAAGCACGGTCTGTCCTGTTCACTCGTGGTTCATGTACTCAAACTCATCTTCTCTGAAGTCATCGCTACTCATCAACGACGATCGGTCATACGACTCACGGCTCGTCAGTACCCTTTGTGGTTCCGCACTTAGTCAAACATCCTAGAACCTTCAATCCACGCCTCCACCTACGACTTATCAAATGAACGACGACTCGTAGGTGGGCTCGTCTGTTGCCAATTTCTTGTTGCTGACACTTTCAGCGCCAACTGCTCCAAACCTATTTCCTGCAAAATTAGATCAAAATACCATCACATCCAATAAAAAAAATGTCTAAGATCATGTATGACTCCATGTTTAATGCATCAAAAATATTGTAAACTGACAGTACATCACTTCACACTCATGAAAAAGACTCTACTCGACATGGCTTATGAGACATCCTAGGACCTTACTAGACTTTGTGCTCTGAATATCAAATTTCTCACATCCCAAAGTACATCCTAAACGTGGCATGACGTATAAGACCCCGAGAGGCCCTACACAAGCCACTTAGCATACATCATACAAGATAATAGAACAAAGAGTTTTAAAAGTAGTATTTTATATAAAAGAGTTTGACAAAGAGTAGCGGAAGTCTAAGCATAAGTCTCAAAGTCATCTACTACATCAAATGAGTTATTGGGACGTAGCACATACAACATCCAAAAATGAAAAGACATGAAAGCAATAAAAGAGTCTCGGTCATCATAACATGAAGACTCACCAATCTTCAATGTCTATAAGGGATAAATAGCCACAAGTATGGGAGGTAGGAGCGTCAGACCTACATTAGTGAAATAATGTAGGCACAAGTATGCGTTAGTACATGGAATGTACCAAGTATGATAGCAATGCATAAGAATTATGAAATCATGCTAAAATGACTTTATATGACATGTAATTACTAAGCTAAATCATAAAATATCATGTTAGAAAACATAAGTCATAATCATGGTCAACGCAAGCTAAACATCTTTAAAACCCATTAAAGATACTTTTAGAAAGTAACCTTAGTTCATTATTGTGGGAGATTTACCTTTAACCGACATAGACCATGTGAGCTATAACATGTAATTTGGTGTCTATTCCACATCGAAAAGAGATGTCCTTACTTGCCAAGGTAAGAACCATAAACTTCTAACTTAGGTGGATCCACTAGCTAATATCTATCTAAGACAAACCTATGGTGACACAGTCATGGGACATGGGTAATCACCGCTTGTCTACTCGGTACTAAGTATAAATTCCACGGAATAGTCATAAATCTTAACATGTCATATTATCCATGGAAGGGGACAATCAAGTAGCCAATCCAAGCTAGAGTTCATTAGAATAGCTCCTTAATCTTGATTCAACTTAGGTGAGAAAACCTTTCAACCTTATGAATCATTTATGTGAGAAAACTCTTTCACATTCAAGTTTTGAGTAGTATGTGAAAAATCCTTTCGCAACAACCACAACAACATCGATGCTTTACTCTCAAAGCAACCTTGAATCATTTTCATCAATTTCATAAAGAAACATGCATATCTTCATAAATTCATCTTTCATAATTCAAAAGCTTCATCATATGATCAAAATCTAGAAATCATGGATCATGCATGGGTTCAAGTGAATTTAACTTTAAAACATATAACTATCTCAATTCGTGTATAAAAAGAACCCGTTTTGTTACTGAAAAGAACCCATTTTGGGTGTTTGTTATTAGAATCAAGGAACTCATCTTAATACATTTTGGGTTCTTAAAATCTTTCTATCTGCATCTAGAAAAGCTGGGTGTTTGTTATGGTTCTTTTTTATGTCTTTTTTTCTTTAACCTTCTTTCTCACCAATAAAATTGATTAAGAATAATTTATTAAATTCAGTGAATAATAAGTTATTTAGTGATTATTTGGTGTCCTATGTGAGAAATTATTTAGTACTATTATTTCTAATGAGGTTATTTTAAGTACATTTTTTTTAAAAAAACTCATGAAAAGATATATATATTTTTAGAAAAGATACAATAAGTATATGTGGTAATAATTTCTTTTATTTGTATTCTCTTTGATCGGGTGTTACATTATTTATTTATTATTTCTCATTTTAAGAAGGAAAATAGCAATATTAGAGGTGTGTGGAGGGGAGGGGGGGAATCACACATTAAACTTTATGATATGACAAAATTAACTTGCGAAACAAGCTGATCTTGAATTTAGATAGAAAAATGTATAATGTGTCAATTACACTATTCAGTAAACAATGATGGAATTTCACGACAAAAGCTATAATTTGGAATGTTTTCATGAGCATTAAATATTGTAAAAAAATTAAATCCAACTTTGATTATTAGAAAACATGTGGTTCACAAATGGAAGAAATTGTTAGAAATAATGATTTAATAGAACATCAGATATAAGTGACATTTAAGAATAAGATCATCAACTATGATATGAAAGTTTGCAAATTTTATATGCAATGAACTAATATAAAGTGTAGCTGACATAGTAATTGAAAACAAGTGGAATGAAAGTGCATTTCATAGTAATCTGCCAGATGAAACAACAAACACATTAATGAAGTGAATACACCTCCAATATACATTGATGAGATGGATAATTCGTGATGGATGTTGAACGCACAAGGAAAATTCACAATAAAATCCACATGGAATTATATCAGACATATAATACCAACCAAACAATATCTTTAAATATAGGTGAATCAACTAATTGCTCTTTTAAATATCTTTCTTTATGTGAGGATTTGAAAGCTCAAAATCAGTAGATAGAAATGCGCATTAATATCTAGATGTTAATGTTGCACCAATTTTGTCCAAAAAGCCATGTCTTATCGGTTGTTCAATCCCTAACAACTAATAGTACTTCACCCTTTTTTTCTTTTCCAAGTTTACCTTAAAAGGACTTCACCTAAAGGAAATTATTCTCACATTGGTGCAACACCAAGTGAGGTCTAGCATGAAGTCATATTTTCATGTTATTTCTTGTATTATAATATGAAAGATGAGAAATCATAGCAAACATAAGAGGAACGTAATTTCAATAAATAAAGTTATATTTCAAGTAACACACAAAATAATGTTAATCAGAATCAGAAGACCATCACTCAAAGATATTCTAGCAAAATCGCTTGATATTCTCAGTTTACTGGAGAACTTTTCTCCTAAATTTAGAATAACTAACGTGTTGTGAAATCTATCATATTGATATGTGAAAATCATTACAAGTAGGACATCAAAAAGAAATTCAAAGAGAAGCTCATATGTCTTTCAAGTTAGAGATTTTAGAAGAAACTTAAGTAAAAACACTGATAATTTTAAAAAATTAATGAAATAATGTAAATATACAACTTTTTCGAGTGATAAACTAATTTATTGTACAATCAATATATAGGACAAGTTATAAGTCCTTACATGTTTTTTTGGCAAAATTCTTACTTGTACAAGTAGTATGTAGTGAATGAATTTTTTTTCTTCTTATTTTATGATCTATAAATGTGAGATATTAATGTTCAAGTAGTATGTAGTGAATGAATTTTTTTTCTTCTTATTTTATGATCTATAAATGTGAGATATTAATGTTTTTTTTCCCAATTTTTTTTTGATGTTATTAGAAGCTTAGGGTACGCCGCAGGTCCGTCCGTCCCTAGAGCGGTTGATGCATCTTTTTGGTGGTCTCATGTCGTAAAAAGATTGGAGCTATATCCCTTCCAAATCAAAAACTAAGCGTTCCAACTTGCAATCAGAGTATCTGAGGAAACCCTAAAACATGTCGGGCGGTTTTTTTTAGGGTAATTTTTGTTGTTGATTCTGAAATTTGTTTTAGATCGAAGCTCTGCTCTACTCCGGTGATTCATTAGAAGTGTTTGTTTGTTTGTTTAGGGGACTTCTGCTGAGCAGGACACTCGCTTCTCTAATAAGCAAGCTAAGTTGTTAAAATCTCAGAAGTTCGCTCCTGAATTGGAACATCTGGTTCGTCCATTCATATAAGATATGCATTTTTTCTTCTGTGTTCCCTTTGGCTAGTCCAGTCCTCCCTCTTAGTTTTGAAATTATGTGTTTAGGTGCACATGTGGAAAGTTTTCGATTTCTGGACCCTAGAATACAAATACCCCGGTCTGTCTATTTGATTATTATGTGAATTTGATAGGTGGACATGACAAAGGTCAAGATGGATGTAATGAAACCATGGATTGCTAAGCGAGTTACTGAGCTTATTGGTTTCGAAGATGAAGTGCTTATCAATTTTATTTATAGCCTTCTTGAACGAAAGGTAGTTCTCTACTTTTTTTTCTATCATTTCATTAACTTACGCTTACGAAAACAATGCTGCCATTTCAGGTAGCTAATGGCAAGGAGCTTCAAATTTCACTTACTGGATTCATGGAAAGAAACACTGGAAAATTCATGAAAGAGCTTTGGGCATTACTACTTAGTGCACAGAACAATGCCAGTGGTGTTCCTCAACAGTTCCTAGAAGCCAAAGAAGAGGAAATGAGAAACAAGAAGGTATTTCTTGCTGTTTTTCGCTTCCACAGTGCTCTTTTACTACTTCTTGCTGATAATCTTTCTTTCATCCTTTTGTTCTAGGCTGAGATGGATCGAATTGCAAATGAGATTCAGAAGAAAAAGGAGAGAGAGAACAGGGAGCTGGATCAAGAGAGAAGGAAGAAGATGGTAACTAAAATTGTGTGAAAGAGTTTTTTCTTTTAATCTAAAGTTGGGGGTTTCTTTGTTTGTATTTTGTGGTATCAGCCTGCTTCCGCAATTATTTAGGTTCATATCTTTACCTCACTCTTCTGTAGGATGATTATGGCAGCAATTTGAGACAGAAAAATGCTTCACGGGAGCCAACTCCAAAACAACAGCTTCAAGTGCGCTTGATGGATGATTTAGATCCTGTTGAGAGAAACGGATCAAGAGTAAGAAACAGGTCAGGATTTCAACTAGTTCTTTTTTTAAAGAAACAATAATTTATTGAAGTGGAGCCTTGGAATTAGCCACTGAGACCCTGGACGCATAATCGGCAGTTGAGAGGTTATCGTGTCCAGTCACATAGGTTACAGTTGGGCTACTATTAATAAAGAGCACTTAAATTCCATTTTAGAATTAGAAGTGAACACAAAATTCATTGTTCAAGGTTGATAAAGATTTTATTGCATATGCTAAATGTCAATGCTTATGAACTTCAATTCTTCAACATTCAATTATAGGCGACATTGTAGACCAGTGAAGAACTAGATAGCAAATCAGGTGATAATAAAATAGTTCAAAGAGAAAAAAAGAAGAGGACACCAAGAACGGGGATACCAAAAATTAAAAAAGGGAAATTCCTTGATCAGGTCTCGAATCTAACCGAAAGTAAGCTGCCCCCACCCAAATGAAAAAGGGCAAGCTAGGACTTGACATTACTAATTTACTTATTTCTGTCTGACAGCTTTCTTGTGACTTGTACTCTCTCATATTGCCGAAATCTACTGGCACATCTGCATATTTGGCTGTTCACTGTTAGTCTCAACTCCCAGCCTTTAGGAGACCCAATAAAATGTGGGCAAAGAATGAAACAATTTTTCTTACCAACTCAAATGGTGATGATAATCTGCAGTTACACCATGGATTGAGTAATTTGTAGATTCTATTTACCTGAAGTCCTTTAGTATAACCTTGGGCACTTTCTATTAATTAGATAAAAGATAAGATTTATGTCCCATAGAATTAAGTAGCACACTATGTCCACCATGCTGCAAAAATGCAGCTGTCAAGTTGGACTTCTGAATGAGTAGTGTAAAGGCACGCAAGTGGTCATTCATATTGGAAAAGGGAGTTGCTAAAAAGTGGGGGTGGAGTGCTAACCTCTTTACTTAAGTGAGATAGAGTAAATGGAATGACGACACCTTGGCCCTGGAAGCTGGTCTGGAATACAAAACTCCCCCCAAAAGTTAAGGGTTTCTTTTGAACAGCCCTTCATAATGCCATCTTAACCTAGGACAACCTGAGAAAAAGAGGCATTCCAGTGGTGAACATGTGTTTTATGTGCCAAAACAACTTAGAGACTGTAAACCACTTGCTATTGCATTTCCCTGTGGCACCTGACCTTTGGACTATATTTTTGGAAATTTTTGGAATTAGCTGGGCAACCCCTCTCAACCTAAAACAAGCAGTTGAAGTCGGAGTTCATGGAAAGTGAACAAGACCATCAAGAAGATCTGGCAGATGATCCCAGCTTGTATTTTTGGTGTTTATGTGCAGAAAGAAACAACAGATTTCATGATGGGACTTCAACTCCCAATTGGTCTCTTAGATCTAAGTGTTTGTTGAATCTTTATAGCTGGAGCAACCTTCCCTCTGAAATGATCCCCCTTCTAGATTTTATCATTTCCCTCTCAGTGTCTTAGCAGCCTCAGCTTTTGGCTTTCGGTTATTAACTCCCAGCTCTTACTTGTTTTTTTTTGCACTGTTTGGAGTTCACCATTTGATTTGTAATCTTTCATGCATCTCGTTGATGCCATTTCAATAAAACAACTTGTTTCATCAAAAAAGATAAGAAAGTAGAGTGCAATTCTGTATAGGGGGTGAAATCCTGAGATCCACGGGGTAATTCTAAATGCACATCCTTTACAAATGCTGAGGTGCAAAAACATGCGGGTAATTGTCGTTCACGCTAATAATGATATGTTTTTACCCTTTGATCTGCATGGATCAGTGACCCTACTTTCGTGTGGAGGGAACACTCTATGTCAGTCAGGATGCATTTTACCTATCTATACAATGGACAGAAGTGTTTGAATTATATGAAACGGAGAGGGCATATAAATAGGAACATGGAGAGTAGTAATGAAGTTTATATCCCTATAAAAGTTAATGCTGGTAAATACAAAGATAACCTGATCTGGGGGAGGTTGAGGTATGGGTAAAGGCATTGTTTTGGATGGAGCAAAGTTAGAAGCAGTTGAGGGAGGGATGTGGTCTTTCTAATGTAGAATCCCCAAGGGAGGGGTTGTTTCCTCTGTTTAGCTCTTTTTATCTTAAAAGTTTATCTGCTCACTTCCCTGCTCTGTGTGGTTCATTTCATCCTCAACATCCTTTGTGTCGTGCAGGGTCTCTAAATCCCCACGGTCAGCAGATCATTCACTCTCCCCCAGGTATAAATTTTTGTACTTGTGGCTTCCTATCCATAGAATAGCATTAGTTGAACTCCTTGGGTATTGTGCAGGAAATCAAGGTCAATCAGCAAGTCATTCTGCAATTCGAGGAGTTACTCTGGGTATTTTCTCCATTAAGCTCCTTTATTTTTTTGAATTTCTCCCTTTTGTTCGTAATTGATTGTATGTGCTTTCTACTTTTACTTTTGCTTTCACTTACTTGATGATTGTTTGTTAAGTGATATCTTTTAAAGTGAAAGGCACAGGTCACAAAGTACATCCGGATCTCCAGAAGAAAGGAGATGTCGCTCTGTTTCATCTGAAAGGGCATATCACTCTGCACCAAAGTGTTCTGTTTCACCTCGTAGGAAACATTCACCTCGACAATCCCATTCTCCACCAAGGCATAGGCGAAGATCAACTTCTCGAGTACGTCGAAGGTCACCTTCTCCTGCAAGATACCGAAGACATTCTCCATTCCGACGTAGATCAAGGTCTCCGCTTCGACGTAGATCAAGGTCTCCGCTTCGACATAGGTCGAGGTCTCCCATTTGGCGTAGATCACGATCCCCTATATGGTGTAGGTCAAGGTCTCCAAGTAGACGCTCACCAGTGCGATACAGATCAAGGTCACCTATTAAACGTCGATCACCACTTCGACGCAGAACACCATCTCCAACGCAACGTAAGTCCCCTTCTCCAGTGAGTCGGGGGTACCACCGATCTCCATTGAGTCCTCGGCAAAGTTCTCCATTCCTAGTTCAACGAAAACCCTCCATTTCTGGTAGGAAGAGATCCTTAACCCCTGCCAGAAGGTCTCTTTCATCTCAAGAATCACTTTCCCCATCACCCATTTACCGCAGGTCTCCTTCACCAATCAGAAAGAGAATATCGAAGAATGAAAGGTCACCAGTTCAATCTCTTCGAGGAAGGATAAGGTAGTGACACATACCAACTGTCATCTTTCTTAGAGATTTGTTATTGATGCTTCTTGTTGCGCTAGCTTGCCCAGTGTTGTTATCTGCCTTGTATGCTCAAGCTTGTCTTGTGTTGTCTCTGATCGTTGAAAATACTGGATTGCTTTGCCTCATAGTTAGAGTGCACAATTTTTTGATGCCTGGAGTTCCTATATCTTGCTATGCTTGATTTGATACTAATACACCATTATATAGGAGCCGTGAGAAATACTCCTCTGTTCGATATGCTTCACCAGTAAAAACTGAGGCCCATAAAGGATCCAGATCTTTGGAACGTAGACGTCCTACTTCTTTTGGGTCACCACAGAAGAGGATATATGACCGTAAGGATTCACGAGAAAAAGAGCTGCCTTTGCCGCCTCAGCTAAGCCGGTCACCATCTGTTCCAGAATCTCCACGTCGCTCTAGATCTGACTCAGAATCTCCACCAACCAAAAGGGGAAGGAGTCCTAGTGAAGATAGAGGGTATATGATTTCCTTAATAATACTGTAGTTTTGCTAGTGCTTCATGAATTTGTTTTTTCAATCTTAATGTTTTAATGTAATTACTATAGGCCAAGGAGTACTTTGAACCGGAGGGAGATAAAGACAAGTGACTTTGACAGCCTTAGTCCAAGTAAATTGAGAGAGCAGAAAGTTAGTTCTGACATTTCTGAGAAAATCGCAGATCAGAAAGAAATGAACCATTCAAGGTTAGTAATGAAAAATGCATCATTGAGAATCTAATAAGTTATCTCATCCATGGATATTTTCGAGTAATATTTATTTTTTTCCTTTTTTTTTGCTGGATTGTTGTGGTTCAGGGAGGCTTTTGAGCATAAACCTAGGTCTTCAAGAAAAATTCCCACAACACCCGATCCATATAAAGATCTTGGGAAGGGGTTTGTTGAGAAAGAATTTTCAGACATTCATTGCCGTTCAGATCGATTGGAGTCGAGAAAGCGAAATGAAGCGATTAAGAGGTTTGTTTACAATTGCTTTTCTGCATTTTGGCAGCTTTAAATGAATATTCCTGCATGTTTTTATGTTGAGCTAGTAAAAAAGGCTCAGCCTATATTCTGACATAATGCTTGTGTATATTTGCAGTGAAAGATTTTCAGGAACTATGGAGCACACAAAGGAACTGGATAAACAAAAGTCACCATCAACTCATAGACACTCTCATTCAGTTAAAAGGTTAAAGGAATCATATGATTGGGAGAGTGTCAAAGCAGATAAGGAAAACCTGTCTCACACAAACGATACCAAGGGCAAAGAGCTACATGTTGAGTCTGAAGCTCCCCTCACTTCATCAAAGAAAGTTGAGCAGAATGATTTAAGTAGTAATGAGGGTTCTGGTTTCGAGGAAAGTGAAAAGCGTAGAGCTAAAATTAAGGATAAAAGAAAGCATAAGAGGTCTGACAGATATGAGTCAACGTCAGATGATAGCTCTGATTCTGATGTTGAGGATAGGAAGGAGGCTAAAAAGAGAAGGAAAGAGGAGAGAAGATTGAAGAAAGAGGAGAAGCGTCGCCGGCGGGAGGAGAGGCGGCGCAGAAAGGAAGAAAGACGTTCCCAGAAACTAAAATCGAAGTCAGCTAATGCCATATCCTCGCCTTCAGATACAGAGAGGAATCCTGATAATCATGCTTCTGATGATGAACATCTGAGGAAAGAGGGTCAACATGGACGTGAGATTGGGGAGTCAGAGTCCTTGCAGAAAAGACTTGAGATTGAGCTACGGGAGAAGGCTCTCGAGTCTCTTAGAGCAAAAAAGGGTGTCAGTCATTAAGATTGTTGCTTCTTTTGGACATTATTAAGCTGTCATTCTTGTCCTAATAGTCCTGTTCTTTCAGCTTGCTTTATCAATCTAGAACTGAATATTTATCGTGGATGTGTTGTTTATGCATATTTAATGTAGTCTATCTTTACCTCTGGCAGCTGAATTGCATAAAAGAGGGTTTCCTGAGCTAGTGTGTTGACTTCAACTTTATGCTGACATACCTGCTAAACCTTCTGGTAATAATTGTCTTCCCTTTCCTGGGAATGTGTTTGTTTCCTAATCCACTGGAAATATTCTTTTGGTGGCTCATTATAGCCTTAACACAAGTTCTTATTTTTTGGTCCTTTATGAATATACAAAATTGTTTTTTTTTAGACTGTTTTGCTTGAAAGACAAATTTAAGTGATGTTACACTTGGAAGAATACCAGGTTCAGTTCAATAACTGATCTGATTATTCATAATTTTTCTTATTTCTAAGTTGGCTTTCTTGTTAATTGATAGATCATTATATTTTTCACTAGATGACCTCGTTGAGCAGACTTGGCAACTCCATACTTGGGTCTCCAATGCAGGTGATGTGTTACCATCCTAAATTGGCTGCCTTAGATAGTAGAGTGCCCAAATGGCTGGAGCATTTACCCTTAAATATAACATAAATCTCATTTAGGTCTCATGGTATTGTATGCTGATTTACTTTCTGTGTTGGCAGCTTGAATTCCTCTCCAGAATATGTTTTGCTTTTCATGATGATCTGAGTTCCTGTTCATATTTGTAAGTGTTTGTATCAGCAGTTGAGACAAAACTGGTTCATTGTGCTGTACATGAAATCCATATAGAACTGTAGAAGTGAACCCACTCCCACCCCCCCAGCCCTGCTTTAGAACCTCGTAGAGATTATCTTCATTCTTTTTTGATTGTTCACAAAGGTATAGTTTGATATGTTATGCCAATCTTTTAATGCTGTCCGCCTGATTATCAAAATTATTCCATGCATGTAGGTGTGTGCTCGTGTATATCAGGATAACTTCTTGCATTGTTTATACCATATTCAATGAGTTCAATGTGGATGTGACTTTTATCCGAGGTGTAACCTTCTGTTTACCTCTCATATAATTCTGAAGCCGCTAAATTGTTTAATATCATAAACATAAAGGTTTTCTCAAGGATTCAAGAGGAGGAATGGAAGGGAAGGTAACCAGTGAAGACTTTTATGCTTTAGTGGACAAAGGGGATGAGAGAAAACCAGGGCTACGTTGCGCAAACTCTTCACTTTTGATGCCGAACCTGTGTCGGATTCTCCAAAAATACCCTACTGTTGGAGAATCCGACATGCACCTGTTGACATTTTTGAAGAGTTCGAAGCATTATAGAACCTGGGGAAATAAAGGGCGAACAACTAGATCTTTTGTTTTTATCCGAGGTGCAGCCTTCCCTTTACCTCCCATATCATTTGGAAGAAGCTTAAATTGTTTAGTATCATAAACATGAGCATAAAGGTTTTCTCAAGGATTCTAGATTGGAAGGGATATGTAAAGGAAGTTAACATAAGCAGAAAGGTTTTCTCTAGGATTCTAGAGGAGTGGAAGGGGGCATGTAAAGAAGGTAAGACTTTTTATGCTTCGATGGACAATGGGGAAGAGAGATAATCCAGCCTGGGGGAGAGGCAAAGGGAGAACATCTGCATCTTTTGTTTTTATTCAGGTGAATGTAGTATGAAATCCGTTTTGATGTCTGAGAAGAGACGTAATATCGGCTGTCAGATTATTGTGCCATGTTTATTATTGCATGGGGTCTTCTTTTCTTATCCACATCGGAAAGGTGCAAAGAGAGTATATATATCTTATCTGTTGAAAGGAAATACATAAATTCATAAAATTGGACAACAACAACAAATCCAATTTAATCCCACAAATATAATAAAATTGGATGAATGGGTGAACTGATATCTTGTATCATAATAGGTTAAATAGTTTTCTGGAATGATAGCTTCAATTTATTCAGTGTCACCTTTCAATCCAAACTGGAGTGGTGGGAGAAGCCGTTGTTGAGTCTGTTTTCCTATTCCGAATGTTTTGTTTTACCCTAGTACTGAGCTAGTTAATTGTTCTTGTGAGCTGTGTCGTATGTGCATCATTTCCATGCTGCTCCAGATATCCTTGTGTAGGTCAATCAATAATTGTTCTTGTGAGCTGTGTCATATGTGCATCATTTCCATGCTGCTCCAGATATCCTTTTGCAGGTCAATCAATAATTAATTGTTCTTGTGAGCTGTGTCGTATGCGCATCATTTAAATGCTGCTCCAGATATCCTTGTGTAGGTCAATCAATGTGGAATGTCACTTGTGAAACTTGCTTTCCTATTTCCTCTAGGGAAGTCATTTTTTTGTCTTTTCATTTTTAAGGAACCTGTTCTCCTAGAGAAATGTTTTAAGAAATATTGACCCACCGAACATAGGAAAATTGGAGAACTTCATATTGAACACACCCTTAGCAATAAGGTTCAAAATTAAAGGGCCTATCACTGCTGCTCATCCCAAAATGAAGATTGATTGAATAGTTTTTTTCCCAATGTTGATCATCATCCCCGAAGTCATTGCTTAATCCATTCCTTTCTTCTATTTCACGACATAGCCAATCTTTTTGGTTATTTGTTGTTATCTTGTTGACCTATCTATACCTTCTAACTAGAAAATGACAATGAGTTGCTTGAAATTTCATAATATTCTCTCGGAATTCGACGTCACCCCACTATCATCCAGGTTGTGGAAGTAACCATGTGTTCAGATTTGTTGGAGTCTCTTGGTAAAGATGGTTGCTTAAGGCGTTTTTTTTTAGAGTAGGTGAGTTTCTCAATTCCATGTGATATTTTACCCTTGAAGAGTGGATGAACGTACTAGGTGATTGGATTTGCTCGTCAAAGGTACTTGACCAGTAATGTTTCATTTTTTGAGTATAAGTGAGAAGCAACAATTGAAGAATGCAGTCAGTATTTGTATATAAAAAAAATTGTTCGTTGTTTGGTACGGTGTTTGATGCGGAAGGGAGCTGCAAAAGGATATTTAGACCTTGTAAAAACAATACTAAACTTTGTAAGGGTTGGGAAGTGGGGAGCTATATTATAATTCCCAATGGTTGAAACTTGAAACTAATGCAACATGGTAACAGTATGGTACTTCCTTCCTGGTGAGAAGGCGGACTTTGATTATTTAGATTTCCATGGAGAACATAGGAACTGAACTATTATTCACCAGCATTACCACAATTGTCACCATGACGATCACTAGAATTTAACATGACCATAATGAAGAGAGTAAAAAATGAAAGATGTTGGAATTGTTAATAAAGTGTAAGATTGTCTCATGGGCTGGACTGACCGTCCTGATCTGAGGTAAAGGGTGGTGGTAATGGTGGTTAAGAGAGGCCAGAGACGGGGCGAGACTAAATTTTTTGTCCCGGATCACATGGTCTTGCTGGATTTTCTTTTATTTATACTATTTTGTTAGTGGTTTGCCAATGACTTATTCTGACAAAATAGCTATTGCCAACTGCCAAAACAGCCCCTGCCTCCTTAATTTTTTATTTTAATCCTCAAGTTTATTAAATTACATTTTCATCCTAATTTAAACTCTAAATACCATGTATCTTCATTTTTTTGTCTCCAATATTTATCCTCTCATTCTCTCTCTAAATTTGACAATCATCCAGTTATTGGTGTGAACTGGTTAAGTATTTCGAGTATACATTTATTTACTGCTTATCGTTATAGTCATCTACTTTATAACAGGCATATTTGGTAGACTCATTTTATCTCTTGATTTAATTATTTTTTCATTCCCTCTCTCTAAAATTTCCTAATAGTGGACAAACACATGGAGGAAGAACCTTACCTTAGGCCTTTGGCATTTTAAGGAAGTACAATAGGAGGCTCAACCCAGAGATAAGCGTTTTTAAAAGTTGGCTTTAGTAAGTTTCTTAGTTTCCTTGTTTCGAACAAGGGAATCTAGGTGAAATCGGATAAGATCAAAGCCATTGAGGAGATTCCAAATGTTCTCACAGATACGAAGGCGATGCAAAGACTGATTGGTGGGCTGACAGCTCCGGGTAGGTTCATATCAAGGTTTTTGGAATAGCACCCCAAGTCCCAGTTTATCTCTTTTAAAAATGAATAACTTTGATGGACACCAAAATGCCAACAGGCCTTGGCCCTTGAGGGACCTTAAAAACTATGTTGAAATCCTCCCCTATTCTCAAAGACAATAAACGAGGAGCAACTTTTGTTATACTTGGCCATGTTCCAAGTCGTGATTAGTGCTATCTTGATTTGAGAATACGAATGTATGCAATCTCCGGTATATTATGTAAGTAGAATTTTATCAGATGTTGAAATTCGATATTTGATGAGTGGTAGATTTCCACTCATTCAAACTCCTTTTAGTTCAACAATTAGTGCCCTCAATGCCTATTTATGTCCTCATATAATGATATTATGATGTTTTGTAGCCATGAAGGCTAAAGGACAAGGCGAGGATGAATCTATGAAAAATAGGCCAAAAACATTGAAAATAGTGTAAAATTCCAACCAAGGATCGCCTAACTCAAAGGGCGGATCGCCAAATAGCATGATCTCTGCCAAAATTGACAGTGTTCAATGATAAAGTACCAAACCGAGTCGGCAAAGTAAGAATAACTTTGTGGTCCACCGAATGTGAAAAGGCAAGCACATTTCATCGCCGAAAGTGACAGATTGCTGAGCTAAAATAAGGGCTAAACTAGGTGAACAAGGTGGAAATCGGCGATTCGCCCAATGTGAAAAGGTTGACTCAATTGAGTTTGCCGACAGAGGTTCAAAACACTTAAAGCCTGAAGTCAAGAAAAGGCGACCTGAAGAATAGAACAACGATTCGCCAATCGTGTTCGGCGAGGCCGACTAATGTCGCCGAATAGGTCACGCATGGAATTTCGGATTAAATTTTGGGAAAATTATAAATATCCCAAAGGAGAGAAAATAGATGACGATTCTAATCTTGATACTGCACTTTTTACTAATTCTAATTTGGGAGATTAAGAAATGGACTTTTTCTACCTTTCTCTTAGTTTTGGGGTTGGAACACTCTTGTAATTGACATTTGAGGGTTGAATTTGATGTGGGTGTTGAAATTATTGTTTATCATCAACACATTAATGGCCGAAAACATCATTGGTATAACTTCTCTTCTTTTTATGGGGTTGGGTGTTGATTTAATTTAGTGGGTCTTGTGTCTTGCTCTGTTTTACTGTTGTTCATCCATGAATTTGAGTTATTTAGCATGGAGTCAACTTATGTGTTCAGGTGGTCAACTTAATCCTAACCTAAATCTTATATTGAAGCTCTA